TTCTCACTGTTATTCCCTGTTATCACTTACATTATAATGCTTATAAACAGTCATTTTCTCACCAGCTTCTCTCTTTTCTCTCTCTGACGTTAATAAGACAAAAAGGCAGCTTGTCATATTATTGAGAACCCAGTCAGTGCAAACTCCTCTGTTCCAAAGACTTACTACTTTCCTACTTACAGAAAACGTTACCACATCAATGATTAAATATACAGTATTTATTTGGACGATTACATGTATTTTTAATCAGATTATTTTTTTCTCCTTAGACTATGTGGTGTGCTTACCATACAAGTCCATGTGTATGAGCTGTTGATGTTAGAACAAGTACATTAATTCAAATCACAGGTTTATATTATACACAGACTCAGGAATTCAGCAGCTCTGTTGTATAAAAAAATAACCATGTTCAATGTAGTATTTTTGCATGTACAGTATGATTTGTGTATATGTGAGTGTTGTATTTATTAGAGCCTTGTACTACACTTTACACAAGATTATAATTATTATTTTTCTCCTTATCAGGTCTGTCACACTCAAAAACTTCAATGTCAGTGCTCAGACTGATTAGTAGTCTAGTGACGGTCTCTGTGTATCTGCTGGTGACCATCATTCTAGCAGTGAAATGTTATAGAGCTCGAGGTAAGAACACTTTCAGTACATTTATACATTTTAGTAAACTTTACATTAATCTCTTTTTTTCTTTATTTGACAGTTCAGACTGATGGAGACAACACCCAGAATGCCGTTATAGAGGAAGTTCATCTATGAAATAAACAGGATACTGTATATTTACTGTTTAATTTTGTATAATCAATGTTTTCTTTTGTCAGTTTTGAGACAATATTGATTTGTTGCTTTAGACCTCCTTATGGGGTCACAGTGGAAGTTAATGCAGTGTGTGAAGCTGAACTTACTATCACGGCCTGCATGATGCTAATGCCAAACTCCAAGTATGCAATAAAATTAACTACATAATTTAAAGGTCTTTGTGTGTCTTGTATTTGTTTCTCTTACTGAACATATATAGCCAGGTCCATAAATATTTGGACATTGACAAAATTATTGATATTTTAGGTGTCTACCACAGGATATTGTGATCAGGTGAATGGTGTAGGAATTAAAGCAGTATGCTCCCCCCTTTCGAAGGGACCAAAAGTAATTGGACAATTGGCTACTCAGCTGTTCCATGACCAGTTGTGTTTTTCACTTACAAGTAAGCATTTAAAAGGTCTAGAGATTTCAAGTTTGGCATTTACGTTTGGAATCCGTTGCTATTAACTCTCAATATGAAGTCCAAAGAGCTATCCCTGCCAGTGAAGCAAGGCATCATTGGCTGAAAACTCAAAACAAACCCATCAGGGGGGTGGCAGAAACATTAGGTGTGGCCAAATCAACTATATGGTACATTCTGAAAAAGAAAGAATGCACTTGTGAGCTCAGGAACACCAAAAGCCCCGGAAGACCACGGAAAACACTAGAACACTGCTTTCCCTGGTGTAGAAAATCCCCTTTGACAACATTTGGCCTGATCAAGAACACCCTCCAGGAGCTAGGCATGTCAGTGTCAACGTCAGTAATGAAGAGAAGACTTTAAAACCAGAGTAAATGTTGTTGTTTTTCTTTCATCTGATCCCGCTAAGGGTCACCACAGCAGATCATTGGTCTGCCTATTTGATTTGGCACAGTTTTTATGCCAGATACCCTTCCTGACCCGACCATCCCCAATTTCATCCAGGCTTGGGACTGGCATTGAGAGCACACTGTTGCACGCAACCCCGGTGGCTGGGGTTGTTTCCCTGGCCGGGAATTGAACCCAGGCCTCAGCAGTGAGAGAGATGTGGCCTAACCACTAGTCTTCTAGGGACCCTTAAAACCAGAGTAAATACAGAGGGAAGAGAGGAAAGACCAGATTAGAGTTTGCCAAAAAAAAAAAAACATCTAAAAAAGCCTGTACAGTTCTGGACCAACATCCTAGGGACAGATGAGACAAAGATCAACTTGTACTAGAAAGATGGGAAGAGTATGGAGAAGGGAAGGAGCTGCTCATGATCTGAAGCATACCACCTCATCATATGGTGGATGGAACTGGTTCCCTTGTATTTATTGATGATGTGACTGCTGACAAATGCAGCAGAATTTTTGATTTCTGAAATGTATAGGGCAATATTGTTTGCTCAAATCCAGTCAAATGCTTCAAAAATCATTGGATGGTACTTCACACTGCAGATGGACATTGACCTGAAGCATACTTCAAAACCAACCCCATTTTTAAAAAGGCAAACAAGTGGAATATTCTGCAATGGGCAAGTCAATCACCTGACCTGAATCCAATTGAGCTGCATTTCACTTGCTAAAGGCAAACCTGAAGGTAAACTGCCCCAAGAACAAACAGGAAGTGAAGACAGCTAAAGCACAAGCTTGCTAGAGCAGGAAGAAACCCAGCATCTGGTGACATCTATGGCTTTCAGACGTCAGGACTTTGCAACCAAGTATTAAAAATGACTCCTGTTCTTAAACCATTCACACAATTTGGATGTACATATTCTCAAATGAACTGTGAAAGTCTGCACTTTGAGCTCATATTTATTATCTCATTTCAACTCCACTATACTCTGGTAGACAGCTAGAATAATAACTTTGTCAATGTTCAAATATTTATGGACCTGATATGTAGTATATTGGGTAACAAATGGTGAACCTTATGAACCTCCACAGAAGCACAGGGTTTAAATCAGCATGAAATGTAAATATGTTTTAGTTTGTAATCATCATTTTTAGTCATCTGTAATATCTTTATATTTTATATATCCCTTTGTGGTTTAAGCATGTTATAATCTGATAATATCTTCAGCCCAGTTGTCTGTCTTTCCTGGAACTAGAAAGGCCTTAAATAAACCCATCTTAACATTACCTCAGACTTGTTGAGAAAATGACGCTACCCCAAACTGCTATTTTTGTGACTGTTATGATCTGTGAAGGGAAGCATTGTAGCACAGGAAATTTCAGAAATAACTAATATATCAAGTACGATCATATATTTTATAACTGATATTTTTGTGGTTATTGCTGAGTTTTTTGTCTTCTTTTTTCCTGAAAAAGCTAGAAATAAACAACAGATGTTACAAAATCTGTGTTCTGTAAAAGAGAGGTTAGATACTTGATACACATATCTTGTAAGATGGCAGGAAGTGTTGAGGCTTTAACACACGCTGCTGATCAGTCAGTCAGTTAGTTAGTCAGTCAGTAAGCAGGATGGAGCTCAGTCCACTCCCTGTGATGCTCGGTGAGTAAATGTTCTCTTTGTGTTCTTATGCAATCTGATGTCTTGAGTGATGAGGTTATTGCAATTAGGAAATTGTCTGGACTTATACAGAAATACATTTTGTAGAGACATGAAACTGACAGTACCACACCACGTGATAGAGGGAATGTTAGTGTACTGGTGAATGATAGCTAATACTAATGCTAGGTATTCTTCAGAAACCAAAATAATGGACTGCACTAAATCATGACAGGTTAATCAATTGTACTGTCTCTGTGATTTCTAAAGGATTACTTTACTGTGCTATCAACATTGACCTGTTATAGGTTTCTCCTATGTAGGAGCTTGAGGAGGGCTACAAGCAGTTTTACCTGCTAGTGAAAAATATGATGAATATTAAAGGAGATTACCAATCACTAAAAATCTTTTAAACATTAAAAAAAATGCGATATTCATAAACTGTATAATGTTTATGAACTTTTTACAGAAGATGATCAGACTTTCATAAGTCTTTGGTGTGGCAGAGCATTTTGAATCGTAGAGAGACTCTGGTATGAGTGTCTGATCTAAAATGCACGACAATCACATCACTGTCAGTTTAAAAGATGTCACCAAACCAATTTTCCACCAAAGACAATTTCCATACAGATTTTTTTCTACTAGTGTCAAATTCAAATGACAAAATAGTGTTTTCTATTTCAAATACATTTGCCTGGATATATTCTGTCCTTCTCTCACCATAGCTGCTGTGAGATGGGATAATTAAGATGCTGTGCTGGAGAGCATGAGTGTATTGCTGTGAGCTGTGTGTGTGATTTCATCAATGTTACAGTTGTTTCATCTGCTACATGTAGGATTTCAGAATTTGTGCTACACCCTTCTCCACCAAGTGCCAAGTCAATTCACACTAATGTATACAATATATGTGGTCTATGATGATAACTGAATTTAACTGTTAATCTGCAGCAGGAATTGATCTAACAGAGTGTGATCTAGCTGTAAACCTACAGGAAGTGTAGAGACATTAATACACACTGCACAGCCAGTTAGTCATCAGCGGTACAGGATGGAGATCAGTCCACTTCCTGTGACTGGGGAGAGCCAGCACATTGTCATACGTATATATTACACAGTGTGAAATACCCTTGAGGGTAGCTGGGAAAATATTAAGTAAATAGGATAGATAATTAGATGTCCATTACTCACATGAGGATAAGCGCACACAGAACAGTCCGTCCCCCATTTAAAGGTGTATCATGATTGATGATGCAGAACTCATAAATCCCTTTTTGTTGTGTAGATTTGTGTTAATGCTGATTGGCTGATGCACCAAATGGATGTGTGTCTGCCTACTGTCACACTCACTAGCTGCAGTTTTACATATTATTAATGTCATAGCCAAATCTCCCAGTAGTGCCAGCTCAACCACTGCTTAAAAATTTTCAAGCCTCTCCAACTTAACATTTTCTAGTGACCCATTGCACCTAAAATTTTTAGTTGGCTTAATTAAAGTTCAGTGAACTGCTTATTTTAAGGTTGTGGTGACAACCCTATACTGCTGGATGTAAATAAAAGTAGAACGCTGGCTCAATTAAAATTTTAATATTTACTGAATACGGCTAGCTATGATTCACTCACTCTAACCACTTTATCCTTGTCAGAGTCACAGTGGATAACAGTGTCTTCTGCACTCAGACATGGGGAGAAGAATAAAACATGCACAGAAACTCCACACAGACAGTAATCCAAGCTCAGGATCAAACCTGGGAGGCAGCAATGCTTCCCGCTATATCACTGTACACACTGAGAAAGCATACATATTCTTTTTCTGTTTGGGGCAATTATTTCCTTATCTAGTGTTGTAATCTGCAGGGATTTCTGCTACTTCCTTCAATGCTTTTCCATTGTATAGTGAGTAGTGCTTTTGCCTTACAGCTCCAGGATCCCAGGTTCAATCTGTTCACACAATGCCTGTGTGAAGTTTCTGTGCATCCTTTCTCAAGAACTTGGCTCAGATAAATTGCCCCTAGGTGTGTATGAATGTTGTCTGCATGGTGTCCTGCGATAGACTGGTGTCCCGTAAAGAGTGTGTTCCAGCTTCACACCCAGTGTTCCCAGAATGGGCACCAGATCCACTGTGACTCCAACAAGAATAAAGCTTATAACGATGTATTAGTTAGGTGAACAAAACAAAACTAGCTAATACAACAAATTATAATATTTAACCAACTAGCTGTATATGGTGAATATAAAACATTTAATTGACACAGCTTTTTATTTCTATTTACATCCAGCATTATAGGGTTTTCAACACAAATTAAAATAAGTAGTTCACTGTACTTTAATTAAGCCAACTAAAATTTTAGGTGCAAAAATTCACTAGAAAATTTTAAGTTGGAGAGACTTGAAATTTTTTTTTTACAGTGACATCAATCAGCTTAAGATCAGCAAATTTTATCAAATTATACGAGCCAGTGAGCAGAGTAGTGGCATGAGTGCAAATCGTTTCTTTCAACCACCATTCATTATTTAGACATCCTGATATGTTGTATTTGTTTCCGCCTATTTTATTAGATTTGCTGATGAAAATTGAATATAACAAACACTCAAAAATGTCTATTTTTTTACACTTATTAATGTGTTGTGTCTTGTTCACATTGTTAAAGAGAGAAATAACTTCAGTCTGACATTGTGTTCTCTGTTCCTCTTCTCTTTTTATAGTGTTGATTTCACTCATCCAAGTGGGACAAGCACAGGGTATATATATATATATATATATATATATATATATATATATATATATATATATATATATATATATATATATATATATAT